TGATTCCAGCTCCCGCAGATGACTGCTTTTGATGTGTCCTTGGACAAGACACTTAACCCACCTCTCCCCCAGTTCGTACATTGATGTATGAACGTGCGTGTGAATGGGTGAGTGGTTCCTTGATGTAAAATGCTTTGAGTGTCTTGAAGATGGAAACACGCTGTGTAAAAATGTGACCATTTAACATAAAATGTGCAACCACTGCAGATAAGAGAACACTGGAATTAAAGAGGCTTGCACCTAGGGGTGTGCAAAAATATTGAAATATTGATATATCGTATGGTTTAATTTCATAATATTGTATCAATATCGTGGGCTGCTGTGTCGATATATTGCCATGGGTGGGGTTTTTTTTGGTATATTTTACTAAATTATTTTGTGAAAGAGCTATGCATGTTTGGATGTTTGTTTTTGCAGTACATTAGACATACTCAGTGTTTTGAGTAAAATGGGCATTTTATATATTAACTGCACAAACTTAGTGGTTTAATAAAGACTTTTAATATCACAGTCTTTGTTTTTTTACTGAACCGTATCGGTTTTAAATATATCATATCGAATGGTATTGAATCGAAAGCTGACTGTATCGAAAAATGTATCATATCATGGCTTATGTATTGAGATATGTATCGCATAGGCAGCTTCTCAAAGATACCCAGCCGCACTTGCACCACTACAGGTATATTGTATAAGCAGCTCTTGAGGTCAAAATAAGTGTGCTGTGTGCTGTCTGCATCTGTCTGCATTTTATTTTCCGACAATCAGGAAGTGCACATTAGCATGCCAGTGTTTGTTAACTTTACTGTCACGGCAAAGCTCCGCTCTGTTGTGAAACTTGTGAAAAACACTTATTGTAAACTCATCGCCATGAATGATTAGGAGGTTTTGAACGTATAAGGTAAGTAAGGAATAACTTTGGACCACTGCAAATTGTTTGACAAGTTCTGTTTTCATGTTTTAAGATGGTAAAAATCATGTACAGCGTCTTGAACAATGGCATATTCAATAATAAATATGAAAATTGTAGTTGTAGTGCTCATATGCGCCCACTGTGGTAACTCCTAACCAACAAAGTGGTGTGAGTTGGAGGCCACCAGACAAGCTCCATTGAGTCTAAGCTATGACCGATCAAGACAGGCGTGTGATGCAGCGGTGATAAGGAGGAGAGGCTGGAGCGTAGAAGCAGAGAAATGGTGTGATTAGGTGTGAGGAGTACTCATTTAGGAAGACAAACAACTTCATTTAAAGCCAGTGGAGCACACAGCCTGCCTCTCCCACCACCAACGAGCTAAATTTGCATCTTTTTGTGGTTGGTTGGGGCCTGTCGTCCTCATGACACATTCGGGCCCATGTCTTGAGTGATAATAGATTATCACGGATCTCGTCTCAAGAGCTACAGTCTTTGATTTGCTTTTGAACACATTTCACTGCTTTTGAGGCGTGCCTGATATTGTCACAGCTCTTCTTATCAACAGAACCCAATGGTGTTTTGCTCTATTTCTCAACTGCACAAGGAATAGAAGCAAAATTAAAAAAAATATAAAAAAAATAAATAAAAAAAATGAGAAAGTATATAATTTCAAGATTCCCACTAGCAACTTCAAAGGTACAGTATGAAACTTTTCTGGTGGTTATAGTTTTGTTTTTGTTTTTTTCTTGATCTTTTACACAACTTCTCCTTCCTGTCCCAGATACCAATTGTAAAGGTCCTAATTAAAGGCCTGTATTACACAAAATGGACTCTTTAAGCTTTAACTCCTCAAAATCATACCTTGTATGTTTGTTTAAGCCTTTATTATTAGTCTGTCCACATCTACAAAGCTCAAAATGCTCTGTTTTGCCTTGTGATTAAGTGGTAGTTTCCAAGTTAAAAGCTACCTTTTATCTTTTTTTTTTTTTTTTAGTACAGGTTGGAAGTTTTAGGGTTGAAATCGTCCACGCGATTCTAGTGAAGGTGTCTGGAGTGTTTTCTGTTTAAAGCTCAGCCTGCAAAGTTTGTGCGTTAAACATGTGTGAATGAAACAAAACAAAATTCCAGGCATGTTTGTGATGAGGAAACAACATTATAGCATAGATCAGAAAACAGCATAATATGGGCCCTTTAAATGATTTAAGAAAGTGCCATCCATCTCTTAAATTTCATTTTTCTGATTGCAAAACATATCCGGTCAAGGCTAACTTTAGCTCTCTGTTCTTCTTATATATCTTTACTAAAGTTTACTAAAGAGTCAATCCTTAACAGATTTCTTTAACATTTTGACCTCCCTAAAATGGTTGCACACTCACACTGGCTTTATGTGTGCTTATGTGGCTTGGCCTAGTGCCAGTGAAGCTGTACATGCACATTTATGACTGTACTACTCCACATCTCTCCTGCATTATACAGAAAATATGTAGCACTCAGTCACTTTGGCCACAGGAGATTTTCAGCTTGGACTTTAATATAGCTTATGCCATAAGAAGCTGCTCCTCCCAGCTGTAGATATAATCCTGAATGATGAAATGTCCAATCAGAAGTAACTGGCGTGTATCCTGTATTACGTAGCATAGATTTTTTTAATGTAAACTTATTTTCTCTGAACTTATAGGCAACATATTAGCAGCAAAACCCAGAGAGGCTGATGCAACCCTTTCATTGTACTACACCATGCATGACCAAACAAACAAATGTAAAATACAACTATACAGTGCAATGGTCTTACAGTCTCTAGCTCAGTGACTAATTTGAAGCTTAGCGGTTCAATCCCACCCCTTCTGCTTACTGTGGATGCTTGTTCCACTTAGACTTAGACAAACTTTATTGATCCACAAGGGAATTTGGACACAGCAGTTCACCCATCACAATATGATACAATAACAAAGAGCAACAATCTAAATGGCAATAATAAATTAAAAATAAATAGCAAAAATACTGGTGAAAATGGTGTCAAATACTAGTCAGGCTGGCGCGACCTAGTGCCTCCACTCAATTTAATTTCTCTCCAGCGACTAGACCAGGAATCAGAATAGACTAGACTTTTTGCAAGAACCCCAGATGTTGTAGACCATGCACCAGCCAATCAGTGAAGAGCTGTGAAGCCATGATGTCAAACTCAAGCACCTGTCTGGGTCCCTTTTGTAGTACAGCACAACAGTAAACAAAGCGGTCGAGATAGATGTAGCCATACATTCAGTGTTGGCAAAGATTCCGGAGATTGAGGATTTAAAGCTGGAACAAAGAGAATGTTTGGCGAATCTTATGGGATTTGGGGCATTACATACATCACGACCAAATAGCAACCATTGGTTAATAAAAAAGTACCCACCTACCATTGAGCGAACAAACCTTATTGCTATGAGGTGAGACGGTTTCCACAAAGTGAAACCGGCTGATGAATCAGACAATACTGGTGAGACTAGTGTCAAATATTAGCCAGGCTGGTGCCACCTAGTGCCTCTGCTCAATTTTATTTCTCTCCAGCAACTAGGTCAGGAATCAGAATACAGTGATTCGCAAAAACCCCGGAAGTGCAAGTTCGAGTCATACATTCTGTGTTGTCAACAATTCCCAAGACTGAGGATTTAAAGCCGGAACAAAGAGAATGTTTGGTGACTTTCATCAAGGGGAAAGACGTTATTGCCCTTCTTCCTGCAGGATTTTGGAAAAGCTTAATATACCATTTAGCCCCGTTAGCGGCACATATATGTCACGACCAAATAGCAGCGATTGGTTAAATGATAAAAGTACTCGCCTACCATCAAGCGAACAAATTCTAACACTGCGAGGTCAGATGCTAGTCAAATACGGCATAATTACAGAACTGCACATACAAGTAAAAACAGATAGATAGTATATAGAAATATAGTAATACAAATATATCTCAAGTATGTACTGTACAAGCTGTGTAGGTGCATGTAAGATTTTACTGTCAATATTTTAGCCTGAAGCATTATGAAATCTAATAACTACTTGTGTATCCTCACTCCACTACAGTGTATGGGAGACTGAACAAAATAATACGCATTTATGTCATATTGTCAGCATTTTTGTGTAATATATATATATATATATATATATATTTGTTTTGAAACTGGCCTTATCAGCATTCTCTGTTGGAAACATAACTGCCTCCTGTGTGCAAATTCTCCATGTGTCCTAGCTTTAATTCCAGCCTCACTTGACATTTATAGCGCATACTGTATATCTTGACTTGTTTCCTGTCTTCCCCGCACTAAATCTCACTCACTTTTTACCCTCGCAAGGTGGAAGAGACTCATTTTCCAATTACAGATCTTGTCTTAAGTCCTAAGTTAATTGTCTACTGACCTCCAGAGTTGTTCAGGACATTGCATGCTGTTTTTTTTTTTTTTTTTCTTTAACCTGCAATCATAATAAAACAGAAAAGTATTAGAGTGCTGCAGAACATGCCTCGCTACAGCCTAATCTCATACAAACACACAAGATGGCCACGTGCCAGCTTCAAATGCTATTTTGCAAACCATGAGCCTGTGATTCATATTCTTCTGGCATTGAACAGACACATACTTACTGCTTTTTGTTTGAGTTAAATTTGGTGAGATGGGCAAAGATGAATTGTAGTGCAGCTTGTGAAGTATATTGGCTTTGGAGTGTCTGTGCTGTTTTGACATTGTACTTTTAAATTGTTTAGAAGACAGTTTATGAAATGAAATGCCCTGTAGCTGACTTTTTTTTTTTTCCCCCCCATGTATAAATGCAAAATTCATCTTGCCCCAGTACAGATATATTTTATAAGCAGCTCTTGATGTCAAAATAATAGATAGATAGGTTGGGTCAGGTTGCCCACGTCATCTTATTGTTCAAGTGATGACTGAAGTATTCTTCATTAAAACAAAAAAAGGAAGTATTACACATTAGAATACTAGTTGTTGTTAGCTTCAGTGTCGCTTCAAAACTCGACTTAGTTTGAAAGCTGTTTGCCTTTTGCCTTTGTTGTTGCCTTAAGAGCATGACAATTTCTATTCTTTTTTTTTTCTCCTAGGTAATCCTCCAGCGACAGGCACGGGCACGTTGATAATCTACCTGGAAGACTATAACGACAACGCCCCCTATGTGGTGCCGTCGGTAGCGCGGGTATGTGAAGATGCCCATGATATTAACGTGGCCATAGTGGGAGGCAGAGACAAAGACCTACCACCCAACGGCGCCCCCTTCAAGATAGAACTGGGAAAACAGCTGGGCCTAGACAACACATGGAGAGTCACAAGAGTCAATTGTGAGTATTGTATGTCTTCTGTCTTGCAAAAAATGACTACAACTCTAATAGATTAAAGGTGCATTGTGCAATTTTTCTTATGGAGGGTCCCTCATATGCTTTTCTCCTTGGAAATGTAATTGCTTTTTCTGGAATGTTTCACAGTATTAAATCTTTTTACATTCATAAAGACCTAACCAGATCAAGTCACAGGTCAGATCTGTGGAGAGGCAACCCCGCTCACAGTCAGAACACCTGTTTTTCTAGGTATTTTTCAGCTATTGCATTTAATTTACCTCCATTAGGCAAGACAAGGAAAGGCAAGTTTATTTGTATAGCATAATTCACAAAGTACACACACAGCACACAAAGTAATTCAAAGTGCTTTACACAATAAGAAATACATAAAAATCCAAATAAAATAAAATCAAAACATAAATGATCATCATAGAATTAAAATTAGACAGAGATGTTAAATTAGAGAGAAGAAGAGTGCGGAATGAAAAATGAAAACCTTTCAGTCGTATGCACAGCTAAGCAGAACTGTTTTGAGCCTGGATTTAAAGCTGAGGCTTGTCTCACATGTTCAGAAAGACTGTTCCAGGTTTTAGCTGCATGAATCTGAAACGCTGACTCCCCGTGTTTAGACCTGACACTGGGCACCAGCAGGAGGTCGGTCCTTGAGCTCCTCAGAGTGTGAGATGGTTCATATGACACTAACATGTCACAGATGTACTTTGGTGCTAGACCATAGAGAGACTTGTACATAAGCAGAGCCGCTTTAAAGTCTCTTCTCTGAGCCACAGGAGCCAGTGCCATTAGCTGTCAGCTATTCTTCCTGGAGACCTATGTTGCATGTTTTTGGGGGTTTTGGGAGCTATAAAACCACCTGTAATTTAATACATGGAAGGTAGAGCTGTTTAATGTCCCACTGTGGAACATTGCAGGCAGAGCAATGACAGATCCATAGAAACAAGCAACTCCATCCGAAAAGTTACACAGTGTACCTTTAAGTCAAAAAATGTAATTAATTTTACACAATGAGGGAAATATGTATACAGCTATTAAACTAACCCTGAATCCTTTAACTGTTAACACATTATCAACTAAGTCTTTGATCATGCTTTATTAAGGATTATATGGATATAGGTTATTATGGTATTAATGGTGCACTGCGCTACTGCTTGTCTCCATGGAGATGTCATTGCTTTCCCTGGAATGTTCCACAGTATGGCATTAAACTTATCCATCAAGCATGTATTAACTACAGATGGTTCTATTGCTCAAAATAACATTAATTCCCTCTGTGAACAGGGGTGACTCTCCACAGATGTGAAATGTAATGTAGCGTAGTGCTGTAACGTGCTTGTCTCCCTTGTGATAGATATGCTTGATCTGTACTGTGGAACATTCTAGACAAAGCAGTAGTATTTCCATAGAGACATCAGGGGGCGGACCCTCCACTCCACCCTCTACAAATTATGCGGTGCGCCTTTAAAGAATATTTTCAGCATTACAAAAATCGAATGCAAACAGTTCACAAATGTATATTTTAACTGAAGAAGTGAAATGATATGACACTGAATTTTTTAATAGACCACTGTAATATGACTTACATTTGTGGTAGCGTAATACTTGGGGACTATACCTGTCCTTTTCTCTCTGGATAAAATCATTTCATGTTTTTGTCAATGTATTTATCCAACCATATCTGCTATTTAACGCTGTGCTGATTTGATGATACCACTGACTCGCTCATAATTTATTAATCCAGAGCCCAGGTATTTTTAACGTTTTTATGACACAAAGATGAAGAAGTGTGTGGGTTTCTCATTTCCTTTCCAAGAACACTATTAAGTGATTCAGTCTTCCTCAAAAGCCTGTTGTCATGTGTTTGCCAAAAAGCACTCAGTGAAATAAAAACAAGAGACGGGGGAACCAAGATGAGACCTGACGATGCAGAAGAGCCCGCCGCCCCTGCACATAAATATTTTAGTGTGATCAGCGTGGCCACCTGTAGCTTCTGATTACTCCTGAGTGTAGTTTTACATGTTACTGTCACAAAATGTTCAAATCGTTCAGCAGTGAGCAAATCTGAGTCAGTGCGGATCACATGATAAACTGGGTAAAAAGCAGCTAAAATGGACAAGCCAGACATTGATTTGTGGTCGCTTGAGTGCCACTGTTGTCCGTGTGTGTTTGAGTGACAGAGCAGAGCCAGAACCTGCTCAGAGGTATTAGAGCTGACAGACAGAAGAGGAGAGAGGGAGAAACAAACGGAGGGAGAAGGAGAGAGACTGAGAGAGAGGAAGAGAGCGAGAGAGAGAGAAAGAGGAAGGGAGACTGAGAGAGGGAAAGAGAGTCATTGTGAGAGAGACTGAGAGGGAGAGAAAGATAGAGAGAGAGAGATTGGGAGAGAGACTGAGAGAGAGAAAGACCAACTGAGAGACAGAGAGAGAGGGGGGGAGAGGGAGAGAGACACTGTGAGAGAGAGACTGAAGAGAGAAAGAGAGTGAAAGAGACAAGCCTCAATCACCAGCGCTGAAAGACCCCCGCTAACACAAAGAGGTGCTCCTGCTGTGCCTGGCTCCGTGCCATGTTCTGTGGTCGTGGGCTGTGTTCTGCTTTGACAACTGATACTTTGCAGCTCATGTCATCAACACTGACATTGAAAATGTGAGGCTAACTGAAAGCACTGCTCTGTTAGAAGCTCTGTTATGTTAATTCAAGCTTTATTTTAACACAGTCTGACCAGAAAGAGTTGATTTAGTTTAGTACAAGTGTCTCCTCTCTACAGCTCAGACCTTATCTTATTACATAAAAATGACAAAAATCTCCCCATTATTTCAAAGAAAAAGTACCCATGATAAATATTAAGCCCCAAAATATATTGTTACAGCTTTCATATACTTTCATGTACTTCATATACGTTTACTGTGACAGGTTTAGTCCTCTATAGAATATGCTCAGAAACCTCCACATCGGGAAGCCCAAGCCTCTTTACCAAATGTGGAGGAGCATCTCTGAGCTTCTCCCTGACCTGACCATGTCTAATCCGTAATATTGTACACGTATTATCATAAGCAAATATGTTTAGAATGCAAATTAGCCTTGAATGAGAATCTCCATTAGTGTTATTCTGGCCACTCTCTTCCCTCTATAATTCTGACACATAAAAGACAGATAAACAGAGAGCTTCGATAACAGTGGAGCGCGTTAATGGCATTTAGAATAATAATAGTCTAAAAGTTATTCCACATGCTCTTAGTTTTAAGATGCCCGAGCCACAAATCGATATTGATACTTTGCGGTGACAAAGTAGTGCGCGGTGTCAGCAGTTCTAGAAAACTCATCAATGCGATCGATACAAGTGTTCATGGTCCTGTTTAGGCGTTTGATTTCCAACAAAAAAAATGGAGAGTGACTAACTGAAAAAACTAATACTAGCTTGCCTGTGGCTGTAATTTTAAGTATTTACTTTAATAGCTCAAATCATCTCCCCTGTTGTAGCTCAAACCAAATCAAATCTTTCTGGTCACATTGTGTTAAAGGGACAATCTGGAATTTTGGACATAGGACCTCATTTCCTAGTGAGCCAGAGTGTTGGAGACGTGTGGAGACACTTTTTTAAATATTCCATCCAGTCCTTGTATTTGCAGAGGTCACTGGTGCTAGGCTAGTGCATGTCAATGGCCATAGTTATCCTGTCACTAAAAACAGTCTTACCCACTCCACAAAACACCCGAAGCAAATCAGTTATTACACCAGACTATAGATGTAAATGTCTGTGTTGATAGCGTAATGTTTGAAATAAAAGTAACTCTGCATCGCATGAATTGTCACATGTTGAGGGACTATTTTCTCAGCAGCAGCAGAATTTTACTTAGGTGCTAGGTGATATCAGTCCGCCGCTGCCAAGCTTTCTATCAGGAAGTACAACTCGCTGCTGCTGTTCAGACATAAATCCTTCAAATGCAAGGTTGGTTTTACTTCTAAAATTGTTCTATCAACACAGACATTCACATCAACAGTCTGGTGTAATAATTGTTTAGCTTCGGCTGCTTTGTGGAGTGGGTAAGACTGTTTTTAGTGGCAGGCTAACTATGGCCATTGACATGTACTATCTTAGCACTAGCGACCTCTGCATGGACTGAATGCAATATTTTTAAAAAGTCTCCACATGTCTCCAACACTCTGGCTAACTACGAAATGAGGTCCTATATCCAAAATTCCAGACTGTCCCTTTAAAATAAAGCTCAGATTAAAGTGAGCAATAGAGCTTCAGACAAAGTAGTGCTTCCAGCTAGCTTCACACCCCCAGGGAACGTTTATGGCATCAGCTGTATTGTATTTTCATAACTCGACCTGGTTCCATCAACTTGAACCCAGAATAGTCTCGTGCAGCTGACAGATGCCAACACTTTTTAGCGCTGCTTTATCTTATCTTTTTATAACCATTTTTATTTACAGCTAAACATTGCTAAATTCATTGTTTACAGCAGAATCAGACACGTGAAAAGGTGCTCTTAGCATATTGTGACACATTTCAGGCTGAAGTGAAGCAGCTCCGGAGTTAGATCTTGTGCCTTCTAAGGAACTTTAAAGTCTGATGCAACCCAATGAAACGCCTTATGCAATGGGGCCACTGGCAATATCTGCAGCTTCATTTCACAGGGATTGGTGGCAACTATTTACCCTCCAATTATTTCAATTAGACGACTGCTTCATATAATTGCAGAGTTAAAGGTTCTATATTACGCAACATGTACTTGTGTGATCCTGAAGTTAGTTAGAATGTTGTTACCTTATCAAAAACATACCTGGAGTTGTGTTTTTTCTTTTTTCTTTTTTTTCAATCACATATGTTTGAGTAATACTTTATTGTTAGTTATTATTAGTTTGTTTACTGGTGTCACAAAGCTGGATTTTTTCACCAGTGAAGGTTAAAGGGACTGTTAATTTTGGACATAGTTAGTTAGCCAGAGTGTTGGAGACGTGTGGTGACACTTTTTTAAATACTCCATCCAGTCCTTGTTTTTGCAGAGGTCACTGGTGCTAGGCTAGTGCATGCCAATGGCCATAGTTAGCTTGCCACTAAAAACAGTCGACTCCACAAAACACCCGAAGCAAATCTATTATTATGCCAGACTGTTGATGTAAATGTCTGTGTTGATAGAATAATGTTTGAAATAAAACTAACCTTGCATCACATGAATTGTCACATGTTGAGGGACCGCCACTGCCAAGCTTTCCATCAGAAAGTACAACTTGCTGCTGCTGCTCAGACATAAATCCTTCAAATGCAAGGCTGATTTTAATTATTCTATCAACACAGACATTCCAAAATTATGAACTGTCCCTTTAAGTTATTGACTTTAATAACACAGTGAAGTATTTCCTGTATTTCAACATGACATCACAAAGTGGAGTGTTTTCTGTTTGAGAGAAGAACTCAGCCTAAATATGCAGGGTTTGTTTGTTAAAAATGCATGGATAAAACAAAACAAAAGGTCTGTTTGTGACGAGGAAACAACATTATAACATAGATCATAAAATAGCATAATATAGGCCCATACTGCCTTTTAAAAATATGATACTTATTGCTCTTCTTTGTATCCCCTGCAGCCACACACTCCCAGATCATGCTCTTGCACAGTCTGAAGAAAGCCAACTACCAGCTACCGTTGCTCATCACTGACTCGGGGGTGCCCTCCATGTCAAACATCACAGAGGTCAAAGTTCAGGTGTGTGAGTGTAAGAAGAACAAGATGCTGTGCAGTTCGGCCCAGTCCCACCACAGTAGCCCCAGCAGCTGGAGCCTAGCGGTGCTGCTGGGGACGCTGCTCATCTCCATGCCCTGTAAGTACCACCAACACTGATGCAACACGCACTGGCATACATTAGCATATATCAGGGGGACTGGGGAGGGCAGTTCTCCACATGTTTGCGGTATATGGACTGTAATACTTTCTGTTGATTGTGGAGCATGATCAACTGTACATATGCACACCCATCTGTTCAAGTGCTGCAGTTATATTGTTATTTTATTAATTAGTTTGTTGACGCACTTGGGCTGTATAAAGAAGTGAGTGCGTCAAATGACAAGCAAGACATGCCAGCAGTTATAAGAGTGAATTTAGAGCTGAGTTCCACTAGTTTACAGACAAAATATCAAAATAAAAACACCAGGATCATGCAGAGCGGGTTAATGTGAACATTTTAAGACCAAAATGACCAGGCTCACTGCAGCAGTTACAGAGGTGTGACCATTTTTAAGTAAAGTAGAGTAGATTTATATATACTGTCTATGGTTTAACATTAGCCAGTGTATAAACACTAAGCATCGACACAAATATACCAAACTTAGCCAAACTGAATAACATTTTAACTCACCAAATGTAAAATCACAAACTTTCATTTAGACAGTGTAGCATGTAGAAATTACATACAGAACAGACTCACAAAAACATGTCCTACCCATAATAATTATAAAAATTACACATACTGTACATAATTTTAATATTAACTATGGGAAATAAAAGTTGAAACCTACCTTTCAAAATTTATTAATTAATTTGCTGATAACATAACATTATATTATTAAATCATATACTGTTTTTTGTGTCTAGGCTTCACTATATGTGCACAAATATAGTTTTTATTAACAGTATTGTCAAGATATAAAGAAATAAAAGCTTTGAGTTTGAATAAGAGTTTTGCATAGAATAGACTGTTCTTGTACTCTTATTCTACAGGTGTAGTCTTTTCAAATGTGCTATAATCCATGTGGGCACTCATTCTATTTAATTTAGCAAAATGGTCTTGTTACTTTTTGCCTAGGGCACTCCCCAGGAAGTCCAGCTACAATTTGCTGTGAATCTCTCATTGAGGCCATTAGAAATAACATGAATTATTCAGTCTATTCAACTGCTCCACTGCTCAAACATTATGAACGGCATCCAGCCGCTAGTTTAGTGAAAAGAGAAATGATTTGTAACTTTGAGGTTTGTCTTCACTCTTCTTGCCAGCAGCACTTCAGCAGGGGGCAGAGGCAGGAAACAGGCAGGCTGACTGACAGGTAAAAAAGGGAGAGAGAATCAGCCCAAATCTAAGCAAGAATTCAAATAACTACTTATTCTGCATGATTTATACTACATGAAATATACCACTTTTACTACACGTTTGATTAAATTATTATTCTCAGAGATGGGTAGCCTATTATCCAGTTATCTACTAGTACAAATGAATTTATGAGAGTAGTTTAATTTCCCAATTTTACTTGAGTAAGGTACCGGCAAACGTCCACTGCTCTGTACTAACTTCCTTTTCCAATTTTATTTTCTTAATCAGTGATATGTCATTTTGGTACAAATGAAAAAAAAATCTGCTGCTCAGCATGATCTCTTTGTTGTGATTATGTTGCGGCAATGTTGGCTCCCATTGGGTACTGCAGCTTTCTATGTCATTTTAGATGAATATTTCAATTTAAAACGTGCAAATTATAACATAATGATCCATGGGTGTCATAGATTATAACTATATAGCAGACACAAGCCCAATATGCCCTCTATAAGGTTTGAGTTGACAATATTACGCTTATTATGCTTGTCTGTTATTTAGAAATGTCAGAACTTTTCTATATTTGGTATAGACATAACATGATTTATGTAAGATTATTTGAATGTGGCAGTATTTTCTCCAACTTGAGTACATTTCAGGGGCAACTTTTTACTTGTACTCATTTGATTTGTACAGAAATTAAACTATACAATTTGCTACTGTACCCACTGTATATGATTCTACAGAAGGTTGTATGAAATAATTCTTCCAATCCTTAGTAGGAAGTTAAAGATAAATATATGAAGTTAGTTCCTCTGTGGCACGGGCTGTGTACATCTTTGTTCATTACCCGTCCCTTGGAACATATTTAACCAGTCTTCTCTCATCGCACACTTTAAAGTACATATCTGAGACTTGTGGCAAACTCCAGCCTCACATTGCCACAAAGAAGTACGTGTTAAATTAAAGTGACGATGCGTGGCGAGCAACAGTGTGAGGAGGCGCCACTCGAGCGGTGATAGGCCATTAGTTGTGCTTTCTCCGCAGTGCACTAATCATACGCCTGTGCAGACTCAGCGTTTCCGGGACACCAGCCACCTCCTGTCAAACTTTTTATGGCACCGGTATCCCAGCTGGAACATTCAAGTGAGCTTTTAGCCAGTATCCTTTCGGGAGAGACTGTTATCTGCCTTCGCCATGGTGAACTGAATGAGAAAGCATGATAATTGTGTGGACATGCCGGGATGACATTACAGTGGAGAGGAGTCTTCAGGTGTCCAGGGCCTCAGCAGGATTCATTAGCCCACTGTAAACACTGCAGTGATGGGCAGTGGCATTTGTTAAACAGATAGCAGGAGCACAACATGTTCTCTCTTGTGTGTGCTGTGTTTTCTGCTGGGATGCTTTCAGGCATGTCTGGCTTACCTACAGTGTAGAGAGGAGCACTATAAAAGGTAGTATTTGACGTAACTAAAGGTCCATGCTAATCAGGGAATACTGGAGCTTTTATACCAACTTATTTGCACTTTAAAGGTAGACTGTGTAACCTACTTTCTCCATGGAGATGTTATTGCTTTGTCTGGAATGTCTGGCATTAAACTTGGTATTAAATCTTCATGGAGACCAAACCAGACCAAGTTACAGGTCAGATCTATGTAGAGGCAAACCCGCTCACAGTCAGAATGCCTGTTTTTCTAGATATTTTTGAGCTATAAAAAAACCTGTAATTGAATACATGTAAAGTAGAGCTGTTTAATGTCACACTGTGGAACATTCCAGGCAGAGCAATGACATATCCATAGAAACAAGCAGGTGATGGAGACCCAATCAAAAAGTTACATACTGCACTTTTAAATATAGACTATTTATATGATTGTATGGCCGATAAAACAGTCAAGACATTTTTTTTTTCTTGAAAATTTTGAAAATGCCTGATTTATCAGCCAGTTTCACTTCGTGGAAACCATCTGACCTCACAGTGTTAGGATTCGTTTGCTCAACGGTAGGCAGGTACTTTTTTTCATTTAACCAATCACTGCTATTTAGTCTAGCTGGTATTTTAAGCTTTTCCCAAATAAAATTCATAAAATTTACCAAACATTCTCTTTGTTCCGGCTTTAAATCCTCGATCTTGGGAATCATTGCCAACACAGAATGTGTGGCTCTTTGCTGATTGGCTGGCGCCCAAACTCACACTTCCAGGATTTTTGTAAACCGTCTAGTGTATTCCTGACCTAGTTACTGGAGAGAAATGAAATTGAGTGGCTGCACTAGGTGGCGTCAGCCTGGATAGAACATCATGTAATAGGATTTTTTCACATTATTTAAAAAAAAAAGTATTTTAGTATTTTTTAGTAGTGTAATGCCAAATGATTGTCAAATTATGGAGATGAAATAGCCAGCTTTAATTGCTCATGAGTGTATTGATCTGTCATATTCATTTGCAGATAAACAGACACATGCAGTTTAAACAAATCATCTGAGGATTGTGTTTTAGCAATGATTTAAAAAGCTAAATCTAATCCAATGCAATCCAAATTTTACCAAATTTTGCAAATAAATTCAAATAATTATCACATTTGTTTTGTTTTACTGTCCTCCAAGTAGCTGAGTCTGAAACAGTACAATTTGTGATGGCTGGTACAGAGAGTATAGCTGGTTCTGAGCTGTCTGAGCTCATCCACACACACTTGTATGGGGACAGATGGGGAGCTCTGATTGCTGCAGTGTAGTGCCAGTCTAACATAGAGTACCCTGCAGTATCCTGTTTCATTTCGCTTATCTTTGCGCTGCCCTTTGACCCCTGCTAGAGATAGGAGCGCAGCAGAATGAAAGGACCCGGAGGGGCGCTTGTACCAAAGGTGTGCAGATTAAACTACTCTGTGTAATGCCACAGTCTCACCCACTGGGAGACACATATGCATGACCGCATGGTACACAGATTTATTCATGTGTCTGCACCTCTCTTACAGTCTATTTTTGTTCTTTTTTTTTCAATTCAATTCAATTCAGTTCAAGTTCTCAATAAAAAAACAACAATTCATTTAACGTTAACATAAGAGGCTTCACATCGATGCAACAGATGTTCTTTTTAATGTTATTTCAATAGTGTAATTATAGTCGCCTCCATGCTGCATGTCTCTGCATCTTTAAGCGTGTATCTCATTGTATTCCACGGTTATACACACTACATTTAACAAAAGCTGCACTTACAAAAGGCAAAGATCAATTAGCATTTGAAGAGAAAAATTAAGATAGAAGCCATGTTTTTCAGAGTAAAGAGATTAGGCTTAAAATAAAGGCGTTATTATTTAATTTCTTGTGTCAACGTGTTATTTGAGGATTTTTTTTTCACCATTCACTCAAATTTTTTGCCATTGGTTATTCAAGGATTTTGCTACAATCTGTAAGCATAACATTATCTTTTGAGTATAGCCTGTAGCTTGGATAATGTAAGATAATAATTACACAACTGTTTTATGAGCAAGGTGCAAAAAGTCCAATGTAATCCAGTTATGTCGATTTAATGTTTTGTTTTCTTGCCTGACTGAAAACAAGTACAAATAAACTGTGTGTTACAGCTCAAAATCCCATTATTCCTAAACAAACACATAACAGTTGATTTAGCAGCATTTACTCTAACCACAATACAAGTTTAAATGAACTGTGCACGTTTGCCCGTGATTATACAGAGACATAGTGTTTATTTGCTCTGAGTGGAGATATCTGTGATTGTTTAAAAGTGCATTGTGTAACTTTTCAGGTGGAGGGTCCATCAAATGCTTTTCTCCATTGAGATG